CAGAATCTATTAAAGATAGTCTGTCTGAGCTTCTTTATTCAACAACCCCAGTTTGTACTATTCTGTTTCAGATAGAAAATGAAATCAGAAACATCTGAGTTTTACTTAATCATTTCACTACTTGTTTAACAGATGAAGTCAAAGCTCTTTAGAGTGTTACAGAAAGTAGTCTTGTAGATTTTCTTTATCATTTTCTCTTGTTATCAGACTAATCTCTGTCTAGGCCAATCTTATATCTTCCATTAACTGTCTGGTCAACATTATCTTCTCTGGTTTCCAGAGCATTGTAGATACAATTTATTCTACTTGTAACTCTTTATCTGTTAAGTCTACTTCTATTGCAGTACTGTCTGTCATTATACCACCAGTTCTGGTGACTTCAGAACCATGTCTGTCTTTGGCTGGTTTATTTCTATTATAGCTGTGTTTCAGACACCCTCATGGTACCCCTTCTCATCACTAGTTGTTTGGTTTTGTTATGTGTGATAATCTTTAGCCTGTCTAGTCTTCTTTTTGTATGTAGATTTATTCATCTTAGAATAACTTTGCTTTTTTTGTAGGTAATTCTTAAGAACTTCTTGTGTGTTTTCAAGATTTTTCTCAGGTTCCCACATTGATTTCTCAATAGGGAATCCCTTCCATTTCACTAGGTAGCATTTCTTATGATAGTACACTTTGTTGTTCAAGATTTTGTCTACTTCCCACTCATGATGGTCATTCACTAGTACTGCAGAAGGGCACATTAGTATCTCACCTGTTCTTGTGTGATATGGTTCCAGTAATAAGATATGGAAAATGTTGTAGATCTGATAGCTTGGAGGAAGCTTCAGTCAATATGTATTATTTTCTATAGTCTCTATTACTGAGAAAGGTCTGTAGTACTTGTTGTCTAACTTCTTGCAAGAATGTATTGTTTATAAATTTCTTGATGACAACATTACTTCATCACCAGATGCATATACTTTATCTTAATGTTTTTGATTATAGAACTGTGCTTGGTTCTCTTTTGCTTTTATCAAATATTCTACCAGATTATCTCTTAATACAGAGATTATTCTCAGTTTCTTGTTGAATATTGTCTGTATATCATTGTTGTCATCAATTAACTTCTGAATCTTGTCTGATTTTCTAGATTCAAAGCTGTACATTGCTTTGAATGAGAACATATGTATTGCAAAGTGTTCTGATCTGTTGTATACAAATTCTGCATACACAAGCCACTTCTCCTAATTATCTTGCTTATAGCTACAATAGATATAAAGATATCCCTCCAAAATCTTGTTTAGTATCTCTGTTTAGCTGTCTGTTTGTAGGTGGGATGCTATATTAAGTTTTTATCTAACTTTTATGTGAAAACATAGCTCTGATTAGTATTTACTTGTGAAAACAGGTCCCCAGTCCAAAACAATATTATTTAGAAATCTGAAGTCTTTAAATATTCTTCTGAATAGAAGATTTGCTATCTCTGGTGCATTAATCTTCTTTCTACATGCAAGAAAACATGCAAGCTTTGTAAATTAATTCACAATAACCAGGACTACATTATATAGATTTCTCTTCTCTTCACTCAGAGAGAGATCCATTATAAAGTTCATGGATATTGAACACTAGAGACCACTGGATGTTGGCAATAATGCAAGCAACTCATATAATTTGTGCATTGGAGTCTTCTCTTTTTAGTAGATTTAGCATTTATGTATGTATATCTGGATATCTTGTTTCATTAATTACCAATTGTATTTTTGCTGAAGCAAGACAAATATCTTTACCATACTAAAGTAATCTGTAAATAAGTTGTTGTAGTGGACTTATAGTAGTTCTTATCTTAGAGTCAGATCTTTAGAAATGTAGATTCTGCTGCTCTTTATCAAAAGACTCTGTTTATCTATTTTCCACTCTGACTGCTGGAATTCTGTCTTAGTAAATCTTGCTTGTACAGAGAGATTATCTTTCTGTGCTTCTAGCAGCAGATTTAACACACTCACAGTTGGTTTATTATAGATCTTTTTGTCTTTTATTACCATGTTCACACACACATGGGGAATCCAGAATCTCCTGTAATTTCTTTGTTGAGTCTCCCCAGCATCTCTGGCTAATGCTCTCCAGACTGACTTAACTGTCTTGGTGTTATCAGATCTTCTCTACACTATCTCTATCTCACTGCTTTAAATAGTATAAGCAGCACATACTTGAATACCTTCTTTATCAAAGAAAGTTTCTTTGAATAAGTTCCACTCTGAAATATTATCTGTGTAATATTGTTTAAGTATATACATCAGCAGACCAATGTCTTCTTCTAGTTTAATATAATCTGGTCTTCATAATAATGTATCAGCTGGGTTATGCTTTTCAGAGTGATAGAGAATCTCAAAGTCATATACTCTGAGAGCCTCTATCCATCTTATATATTATTATTGTGCCATCTTGTTTGTGGACTTCATAAATAAATGAAGATTTGCATAATCTGTAATAATCTCTACAGAGTACTTCATTTCTTCTAAGTACTGTCATCAATAAACAAATACTCAGATAATGACCAACATCTTCTTATCTGATGTATTATAGACTTGTTGAGCCTGATCAAACTTGAATAATTAGTAGACAACTGAGTGCCACCTATTTTTGAACAGCTGTAACAATAATATATCTGCAGCATGTTCTAAAGCATCTGTCTCCAGACATATTCTATATTCTGAATTATAGTGTTGAATGACAAGCTCTCTGGAGAAGACTGTTTGCAACTCACAAAATGCTTCTCTGACAGCAGATATCAGAAGAAAAGATTCTTTCTTTCTTCTCTTTTCACTGCTCTTTAAGAGATCTGTCAATAATGTTATGATAACTGAGTACTTTTGTATGAATCTTCAATAGAAGTTCACAAAACCCAGAAATATCTGAATATTATGAAAACTTCATGGCAAGAACTACTTTATGATTATCTGTATCTGCTTTGGGTCCATCTTAATATCTTCATTATTAATGATATATCTGAGGTATAAGATTGTTTATTTCTTGAAAGCATACTTAGCAAGCTTTGCAAACAACTAGTATTTTCTTAGATATTTCATAACTAGTCTAACATGTTTCTTGTGCTCTCTCTCTGAGACAGAGAAAATAAGAATATTGTCTAGGTAAACTATACAGCATATATTAACCAGGCCTGCCAGTGCTCTATTAATATAGGACTGAAAGATCACTGATGTATTTAATAATTCAAAAGACATGACAAGATACTCAAAACTCTCAAACTTTGTATAAAATGTGATCTTTTATTCATCTTCTTTTTTGATTCTAATCTGATGATAGACATTATGTAGATCTATCTTGAAAAAGTAGTGTGCTCCTGCCAACCAGCTTAACATCTTATCTATCAACAGCAAGAGATAACAGTTCTTCACTATGATTGTATTAAGATCATGATAATTAATGCAGAGTCTGAGTTCTTTATTAGTCTTGAGTGTAAATAACACTAAAGCCTCTGTTAGACTTTGTGATGGATATATTTAATTCTTGTATAACTTGTTCTTGATATACTCTTGTAGAATCTCCATCTGCTTGAATAATAGTTTATAGATTGGCATGTACAGAGACTTGCAGCCATCTTTAAGAATAATCAGATGACTGATCTTTATTAATTCTGGCAACTCTGCTACTTTTTCTTCTGAGAAAATATCTTTATAGTCCCTCAATTACTTAAGTACTTCTGTCAGGACTTGATTGTTGTCTGATATGAAAATAGTATAAGAGAATTTGTTCTTGATGTGCACTATTCAGAGAAATCTATCTGCATTCAGAAGTTTCACTGTTTTCTCTGAGAATCAGTAATGCTATATCTTGTTCTTCTAGTCTATATCTGGGTTGAAATCTTCTAATTACAGCATGTCTAGAACTATATTTATGTTAACTATATTGATTACTGCAAACATATGTCTTACCATCTTTGTGGTCCCCATGAAGTCTGTTATAGTGAGTTGGGTCTTGTAGATGCTGTACCAATCAGTCTCAGCTCTGTTTAACATCTTAATAACTTCCATGGATATCTCTGGTTGATCCCAGTCTAATTAGAACATCAGTTTGTAGAAGATACTGTCTACTGTGGTCTCTGAGTTCAAAAGTGCAGCTTGCTCTGTAAGATTATCTGATAATGTAGTCAGTGTGGCTGACAGACACATACTGTGTCTGCTTACCTTCTCTATTAAGTTAACATCCTGTCTTTCTAATGTTTAATCTGGGTCTTGCATGAGCTTTATAACTCTAGTCTTTGTCCAGTCCTCATTCTTTTTGTCTGTCTGCTGGAACTTGTTAGAGCTGTTCATACAGAACTTTGCTCTATAGTCTGGTTAATTATATCTTAGATAGAGCTCTTTATTCATTTGTTGTTTGTGTTTCTGTTCTAACATTTTTGGAAGTGGTTTCACTGGCATCTTTTTTGTTTGTGGATAATCTTCTTTGTTGTCTTGTTGGGATATATCTTTCTCTTAAGAGATTAAGATTTTCTGTTTCTTCTTATTTTAGTTCTTGTTCTACTGACTTTGCTTCTTCTTTTCTAGAATAAACTTAATAAGTGTTACTTGTTCTTGTAATTCTGCAATCATTTTTAATTAATATTGCAGTTTATTCAGTTCAGCCCAGATGATTAATCTGAGCTTTATCTGTAGAAAGAATATATAAAAAAATTCATCTAATAGACTGTCCAGATTCTGTTCAAGTTTAGCAATATACATAAAAAATAAGAGTATGAATTGATTCTCTTGTTAAACAGTGTCATGATAATACTGTATCATATCTTAACTATAAGTTATCTCAGATTTAATATTATTCTTACACCACATCTCAAATTTATTTTATGATGTAAGTAGTTGTTCTCTCTCTATTTCCAATATCTGTTAATGCATCTGAAGTTTGTCACAAAAATGGCTGGACATTTAATTAATTCTGACTGCATCTGGTACTTTTTGTAATAAATTTCTCAGATGAAACTGCTGTCTTATTAAAGCTAATCACAATTTGCACTCATTAAGTGATTTGCCATAATAGTAAGATACTTTTAAGAGCTTCATATTATCAAAATCATCTGACTTCTTTATCAGTTGTATCTGTAAGAGAAACTTTAAAGAGAAATTATTATTTATTATTCTCTGTTCATATTCTATCTGCTTCTGCAGTCTGTGTATCTTGTTTTGTTTATATATATCTGCTGGATTCTTTTGCAGATATGTCTTCTTTTCTTCAAAAATCTTCTCTCTTTGAGTTTTATCTAATATATTGAGGGGTATATCTCTGTTGTCTATATTGTCTGCTGATGTCTTGCTGGTGATAGCTTTACTGCTACCAGCATCTTCATCAATATTCATCTTCTCTATATTGGTGTCTATCTCTGTCAGGTCTGCAATGTGGGGTGTTGTTGTGATTTATCTCATAGATCTTGGTGGTATTGTACTGACTTAGACAATTGTATATCAGAGTATTCAGAATGTTAGAGGAACCAGTTATAGATCATGTAGATTTTTCCAGAATTAGAGATATGAAAGAGCTAAGTTGGTATGATGCCTGCAACTGATGGAAGAGAGTTATATATAGAATATAGAGATTCTCTAACTAGAAGACTGAACACTGGGGTTTTTATAATTCATGCAAATTGTGTGATTCTTATATGTTCAGAGTTGGGGTCATGTGAATACTCTTGAACACCCAACATCATCTGATACTTGGTTGGTCTAGATCTATATTTGTAACACTTTCCCAAATATGTTAATTTTATTTCTTTTTAATTTGTATCACATTGCTACAAGAATTATTATTTTTCTTTAAAATTAATATTATGCTCTATCTGCTATTTGACTTTTGTGGAGAAAGAACATCTCATATTGTCTTGAAATACTTTGAAATTTGTCCTTTATTCAGTTTCTACAATGTATACTAAGTAAATCCTAACAGAGAAGCTGTTAGGTAGTCTTCATAGTCACTGACTGCATAAGACTATAATGAATAATAATAATAATAATAATAATCATAACAATACTCTGAAAACCAGAGAAAATAACATCAGCTAGACAGTTAATGAAAGATGTAAGATTGACTTAGACAGAGATTAGTCTGATAATAAGAAAAAATAGTGAAGAAAATCTACAAGACTGCTTTCTATAATACTCTAAAGAGCTTTAGCTTCATTCATTAAACAAGTGATGAAATAATTAAGTGAAACTCAGATATTTCTAATTTTATTTTCTATCTGAGACAAGATAGTACAAACTGAGATTGTTGAATAAAGAAGCTCAGACAGACTGTCTTTAATAGATTTTGTTTTGAACACAAGATTCACAGTTTTGGTTTCACAACATGATACAGAATGATGGTATTTTATAGAAGATTCTTCAAGACAAGAAGTAACTTGACAGTAACAATATTTGGCAGCTTCAGAATTAAGCTTACAAAACTCTTGCACAAGTATACTCATGCACTTTATATTGTACAGATAACATGAATCAGCTATATTAAAATTATAATATTCTTCTTAAAGTTACAAGAGCTAACAAACTAGTTTAACAGCAGATTCTGAAATCTACAGCTATGTCAGAACAACAAGAAGAATAAATAAAGACATACTTATATTATAACAGATACAGATTTAATATTCTAAATAATAAGAACAAGATTTCTTCTCAGTATTTTATAGATAAGACTTGCTTTTATTCAGATAGTTCATAAACATCAAGTAAATATAGATAAAGCACAGAAGAGTGTCTTCTTTATTATATACAACAGAGTCTTTTAACAATAATATTATAACAAGTTATAAAATAAACAAGAAACAACATCTGAGCTCAAACAAAGTAGAAGAAAATGAAGAAAAAAGAAAATCAAAAACTCTTTATTTATACTTATACTACAATATATTAAAGTTGCTAGTTCTATAACTTGTTAATAGATAATATAACAACAGACAACAGATAATATAGTAATCAGACAAGCAAATAAAGAAAGAAACAAGTATATAACAAAATATTAAATATTTATAATAAAATAATTACTGTTCTACAACAAAGAATATCTACTGCAACCAGTAATAATATGCATGCAGAATATTTATATAGATAAGCAGTAGTAATGCAGAAGCTTGCACATTTAAGAATCTATAATACTTTACTAATAATAGAGAAGCTACAACAACATACAAAAAACCACTTTAATAGTTTTATACCTCAGAGTCTGAGGCCTCTGAAAGAGAGAATAGTGTTACAAATATAGATCTAAATTAATCAAGCATTGAATAATATCAGATGTTCAGAAGTATTCATGTGACTCCAACTCTGAATGTATAAGAATCACATAATTTATATGGATTGTAGAAACTTCAGTGTTCAGTCTTCTAGTTAGAGGACCTCTATATTCTACACATAATTTCCTTTCATCAGTTGCAGGCATTGTACCTACTTAGCTCTTTTGTACCCCCTAATTCTGGGAAAACCTACATGACCTACAACTGGTTCTCCTAACAAAAATCTACATGACCTATGACTGGTTCTTCTAATATTACCAGAGATCTCATGGACTTGTTCATTGTGATCAATCTCCCCACCTATCTTATAGATATCTTTGAATCAGATACCTTCATACCTTGGTTACTTTCCATACCATTGAAGTCCTATGATACTGTATGATTGTACCTGATTCCACTACTCTTGAGAAGGCACAATAGCCTTGCCCTGACTCTGATATACCTGCATGGAAACTCTTTGTCATCAGAGCAAGACTGCCTACTTAACCAGAGCACTATTAAACTATTGATCACTATCTCCAATCTGTTGTTACTCTCTTTGAGCTCTTTGATACCCTTCAAACCCTAAAGGACCCTGAGAGATGCCCAGTCATCAACACAACACTATATGGTGATTTTGGTGTCCCGCTTGCTTGGTTGTCCCACTTGGTTGTGGAATACATTATTTACTATATCAGCTGTTGCACTATCTTCTGTTGTTTTTGCATTATCTTCTGTTGATTTAGCATCATCTGTGCAATATTTAAAGTTCATTCTCCTCTCTAGACTTCTGCCCATTATCTGGTGAGTTGTCTCTAAGTCTATCTGATTATCTAAGCTTGATTTAGAATGTAATGTAATCTGCAAGCAAGTGAAATCCACAAGTGAGCGAAAGATTAAATTAATGCATCTCAACTAACTAGAATTTAACCCAAAATACTAACACTCAACAACCCCTAAATAAATTAAATTATATTGCAATAGAACTGGGGCAGCTTCTTCTTGTATAGTCTAAAATATAGCAGTTTGTATATCTTGGTGGTGTCTGTGAATGTGATGCAGACTCTGAGACTGCAGGCTCAGAAAGTTAAGCAACCAACTGTTCAACAGATTGAGCAGGTGGAATGGCAAGCTCAGTAATCTCTTCTCTAGTTAGATCTTCTTCATATTGAATTTGATGCTTAGATCTTGTACATTTTTGCTTCTCTTTTTTATTTACAGCAAATATATTCTGATATTGCTTTTTTATAATAGTAATGTTGACCATTTTATATTTGCAAGCTCTGATAATTTAATCAAATTCTTCCACTAAACTCTGAAGTGAGCTCTCAAGCCTCTGCTCTATAAGATTCTTGATCTTATCTACCTGCTTATGCAATTGCTGGAGGTTGTGAGATGTTTGTAAAATTCAGAATAATACTGAGTTGCTAGATTAGCTAGCTGGAAAAGTAGAGGTTTGGAGTTAAATATCCAGCTGCTGAAGAATCTGATCTGGATCAAATAGGGCTATTCCAGTAGCTATAAAGCTATTTTGAATGTTCTGAGTCTTGAAGATCTCTGTATATGCTGTAGAATAAACATTCAGAAAATCTGTCTTCTTAATAATGTTAATTTCAAGCTGCATTTGCTGTTTAACTAGACTGTCATATATTTACTTCAAAACTGCAAAAACACTCACATCAAGAGACTGCAAGAGATGGAATGAATATGGTGATATATATAGAGAAATAATCTTATTCTTCTTGCAGATATAGTTAAATTCTGGGGTAAGATAACTGCTGTATCTATCCAGAATAAGAAGTATATGAGTGCTAACTCTCTGTGGATTTGCAGTAGAAATAAATAGCCTAGTCAGCTATTTCATTTTTATCTCATCTGTAGTTCAGTTATTAGAACTAATATCAAGTCTCCAGCTAGCTGGAAGCCTATCAAACCAGCCTTTCTGTAGATTTTATTCTTTAAGAATGATGTATGGGGGCAAGACCTAGTCTGAGACATTGACTGATTCAATTACTGTGATTTATTCTTAATTTTCAGACTGTAGAAGCTTTGCTTGACTATAGTGCTCAGCACTAGTAATAATCTTGATAGTTGTGCAGAGGCCTATTGCAAATCCAGTCTTATTAAAGTTGTAGATATCTTTTATTAAAATTTTATACTCAGTAATTATATCTTTCAGAGTCTTAAATCAATTCTGAATAATCTTTCTATCCTTATATTTTGCTTGCTTGTGATTATAGTATCTGGAATAGCAGTATTTGAGCTCTTATAGAGTTTAATCAGATTTGACACCTATTTCTAGCTAACATGAGAGGGAGAAGAGGTAGGATCTCATATTGTAAGAAGATGATTGGCCGTATTCTCAACAAATACTGGTTGGGGGGGAATTCCTTGTTTAGCTAGGTCTAGAATTCATTAAACTAGCTGATTCTCTTCAGGCTCAGTCAATTTGGTTGAATTTGCATGTAGACTGATTTGTGCATGTCTTCCTTTTGCTTGATGATATAAGGTAGTATAAGATATATTAAATAGCTGTGCAGCTTCAGCAATTGAGCTAATTTCTTGCTTTTTAAGAGTAGAAATAGCAAGTTCAATCCTTCCCTCTATTTCTATAGAGGATCTTGCATTTTTATTGCGAATTGGTGGCATTCTGACGCGTTGAAGTGGATGGTTGAGGAAGTTGAAAAAAATCTTTCGCTCGCTTGCGGATTACGTTAGAGAGATTCATTGAAGTCTTCTGATTAGAAGTTCAGTGCTCCAGTTCATCCATATGATTTACCATGGCTTTGGCGTTGCCAGATGCTTGATTTGCTTGCTAGATACATTTAGTAGCTATTTTGCTCACTCTCTAATTAAGTGCCAGAAAGCTACAGGTTTTGACTCACTCTTTAGCTTGGTGCTAGAAGGCTACAGAAATTGCATGTATAGAAGATGTCTATCTCAACATACACTTTTTCTTGTACTCATAAAAACTCTTTATTCACAAGAATAACTGTTCAGAGTGTTAATTATAAGCTTTATTAATTAATTAAGCTGTAAACCAATCTTATACACTTGCTCTTCAGCACAAAGGGCTATAACCTGATGGAGGACTCA